AGGTGGATGGTTGACCTTGACCAGACCTTCTTGTAAGTATGTTAATGATGTTTACTGTTAGATGGGCACACACACACACACAGAAAGAGAGCTGCCAAGTGTCAAGGTGGTCAATTAGGACAACCTAGAATTAGTTATATAACAACCCACACTATTACTTCAACATGAAGGCATAATGAAGGCATTTTTAGACATGGGTATCTCAGAAGATTTTCTACCATTTACCCTTCTGAGAAAAGAACATTGAAGCTATACTTCAACCAAACTTACAATGAACCCAAGAAAGAAACAAGTATCAGATCAAGATTGCTTATTGTAAAGAAGGCTGGAACTTAAGGGAGTTATGCAGCCTGACAGGCTGGGGAGCAGACAGTGTCCTGTACCACAAACATCATTCCGAAACCAGTTGTTAATCTGAAAACAAAATGCATTCTAATGAAGAAGAAAGAGACATTTTTAAAAAAGCTGAGTCTGACAGATTTGGGCTCCTCCTCACAAAAGAAATGCCACATGTGTGCCTAGTTCTTGCCCATAGTCTTCAAATTATCATTGAAGTGTGCTACTGGGTGAGCTCTAGTATTCAAGCGAGTTTGTTTTGACAGTTGAACCCTTCTACTCTGAAGGCAGGTAGGTGGGCAGATGTTATTGTGGGAGTGTGGTGGGCACAATATCTTTTCTATTTTTTTTTCCTTTTGGGTTTCTTGGGTGAACTTAGATTTCCCCAGGATTAGTCATTCTGTTTATTCCTCTTGGTCCTTCTCTTGATGACTAATTTGGGGAAATTGTTCTTGGTTACTTGGCAACAAGCTAGTTGAGAATGATGGCTCATGCTTCTCAGGGGCGGAGTCTGAAATTTCCTTTGTAATCAAGGGCCTCCACAAGGAGGACTGGTACCGAAATTCAACTTTTCACAATAATGGGTGCCCTCAAAATCTTCAGACGTGAACAATGGCATTTCCTAGGAGGGTCCTAAATAATTGTCACCTATGTTCAGACTTCTTTGTACGGCAGACCGGAATGTTTATTTTTCTCATCCAAGATGACTGTCAAGCTTACTTTATACAAAGCAAGAGCAACAGGAATCGGGGTCATCCTGCTGGAGACCAGCCCCACCATGTGTTCAGCTGTTCCCAGATCAAGCATGCCTCCCTGGAGGGTGCCAGAGACCATGGTCCTCTCAACTTGCACCATGAATAGCCTCTTGTGTTTGCCTCGATCTCTGTGGCAAGAGTCTGGTGATCCTTGGCTGTCTTTTCTTATTTTTGCATGAAGGGCTAGACTGATTAATGGAGGAGATTGGCATGGCTTCCAAAGCTACTCCATAGGACTGTTCTCCCAATGAGAATCTTCCTGAAACCAGCATACTGTCAGGGGGAGGTGTGTGTTTGTCTGTGTGTGTCTGTGCATGCATGCACAAGACTGAATGACAGGGTTTACTTCTGGGTGGAAGCCCTATACGGAACACATGGGCTCATGTTGTCAACAAAAAGGCTAAGGCTTTACTTTGATTTGCCGGCATCCACTCTTGTTGCCCTAAACTCTGTGTAACAGATCACTCCCTTTCTTTAGCTACCACATCTCTGTGGCTTTTTTTCCCCTTGGGCTAAAGACAGCAGCTAATTACTTGTGAAGTGTGAGGTGAGGGATGATAGATGGGAAGACAGCCACAAGCACTACTGTGCTGGAGAAAGCCTTCCAATAAATGAAGGCCTCCCACTCCTTGGAACCTGCCTATGCTAAGCTTAGCATGTCCTTGGAGCTTGCAAATGAGAATAGCTGCCACCTCTCCAGCAGCCTTCTCCTGGGCGTGCTTGGGAAGTACTCCCCAACCTTCTTTCCATTTTCCAGAAATCAGTCAAAACCACCACTGTGGTTTGCCTGTTGTGTTTGTTTTTCCTCTCTGTATTTCTTAGGTGTAACATATATTTTCATCCAAACTTTTGAACCAGAAACCCAACCCCTTTATTTTAAAGAATCTGGGTATGAACTAACAGGCTACTATGAACCCTGCCTTTTGTGTTTATATAGGATGTTAAAGTAGACACTTTTGCCCTCAATTTTGGCTATATTCTTTTGAAGAAAAGGTTGAGTAGAGGCTAATCGGTAGCAAATGTTCCCATGTTCTCAAGTGAGGTATTGCACCTCCCATGCAGGGCTGGCAAAGTTGGTGATCCAAAGCTGTTTCCATGACCCGCCCACCCTAACATCCCCCAAAGGGTATGAGAAGTAGAGGTTGAAGAAGGAATTTCTTTGAAAAAATGCTGGCAAGCTGAGGCTCTTTTCCTTTCCCAACCCTAGATGTTGCGGAAGGGAGAGGGTTGTCTCTTCTTTACTGAAGCCGGTGACAAGGGTTTCAGAGACACACTTGGAAAACTTGATGAGTGTCTGTGTGTTTAGGAATCAATTTGAGCCATTCCTATAGAACCAAAGCTAAAAGGCTAAGCTGAAACCACCTGTTGAGATGGGAAAGGATAATGGTCTGTGTTGGGCAGGTGGTACACTCAAGGATGCTTGCATATACCATGGACCAAGTGGACAGTAGGGACTGATCCTGGATGCATCTGGAAGGAGCCCTACACAGAAGAGCTACCGAGTGAGGTAATCCCACCAGATCAGTTAGGGACTGCATCACCCATGTCAGAGGACCGTGTGATGTGAGGTCTCATAAGGCGTCTCTGAAGACCCTCACAGGAGCACTAAAACAACAAGGTCAACTTGGAACATAGAATGCCCATAACCCGTCCTGAGTTAGAGCCTCAGATTGGTTGGTAGAAAGGAGAAAGAAGCTCGAGGAAATAGAAAGGAAACTGACCATGTCCCTCTTTCTCACTGCGGGTTTCCAGCCCAGAGGCAGCCTGGGCTGGCTAAGAAAGGAGACATGATCAAGTCTGGAATTTTTACAACACATGGAAGTAGATATATTGATGATTGAAATAAAGCTGTTACTATGGCTAGAAGTAACTGGAGGTCTTTTTTATTTTCTGAGAGTTATTATAAGATTCTTAAGGCCTGCCTCAGATTTTATCCAACAGTCAGAGAAGAAATACCTCTATAGGGCAGATTGGTAAGGGCAATGAAGAGGAAGAATAAAAATGTTTTTTCTGCTTGCACCCCATGGAAATTACATTTCCATTCTGCTCACTCAGATCCAACTTTCAAATATACCTTTTGAGGAAAAGTGAAATTGGAATCAGAAGTAGCAGTTTAGATGAATATAAACAGCTTGTACGTTGTCAAAATTCCTAATGTGAAAATATCCATTCGTTATTAATTCATTAAAAATAAAAGGATCACCTACTGTGCCCCTTGACCTGAGCTAGGCATGAGGGATACAAACGTGAATAAGAGTGAGCTTGCACAGCTCTTAGTCCAGTGGGAGAGTCAGACGTGTAAACAAATCATGGCACAATGTGACATCATACCACAGACGTAGACACAGAATTATATGGAAGCCTCTTCATAGCTCATTCTGCTCATTTGCATTTCTTATCTGCACCATCGTAAAATTAAAATATACTAGGGGAGAGCCACTAACCCTAAATGTGGAATTTCCTAGCAGGGAAGTAGGGAGGCCACAATGGAATCCAGGGTGGAGTGGGGCCCAGGCCATAGAAAGGTTGAATTGGATCGGCCCAAAGAGTGTTTGCCCACTTCATGACTGCTGAAAGCCAGAGCTCCTTGCCAGGAAACAAATTTTGTGACAGCTATTATACAAATTAAACCCAACTTTCTGTGATTAGAGCATGGTGGGAATTGGCACAGTGATACGTCTTTTTTTTTTTTCACATATTAAAAAAAAAAAATCTTCAAAAAGCTAAAGCTATTCCTCGCACACCACTTTTGGATTTGGCAAACGTGGTGAACGAGGAGAAAATGGAAAGATTTTAAAAGCTTGTGGCATTTAGCCCGCATCAAAGATAAGAATTAAAAGTGAGAATAACAATAATGATTAGCATTTAGGTCTTCAAATCTTTTTCCTTGGAGATTCTGAAGTGAGCAAGGTATAAGGACTGCAATTTTTTTTCAAAGGTCTTAAGGTTGATAATTTTTTTTTCTGCTATCATTCTGTCACAGTAAATAACATTCACTCCTCGGAAATATGATATTTTGGCCATCCAGCTATTTACAGATTACATTAAATTGGAAACTCATTGGATTAACATATTTGGATTTATTTCTCTGTACAATAACCTGAATTTTTTTTTTTTTCTTGGTATGGAGAGAACAGAGAACTACAGTTAGCCTTTTATTTACTTATTTTTTTTAACGTTCAACCTTTATCTTTTTGAAACTAATTTACTTGAAGTTTAGGATTTTTTTTTTCCCCAAGCAGTAGAGTAGCTTTGTGCAAAAAGACGATCAACTTTTACACTGTTTGTGTAACTGCCCTATAGCTTGAGGGAAGGCCCTATCTTTTCCCTTCCCATCCTACCCTCCATATTTTCAAAAATATATTTAAATTATTAGTAGCAGTTATGAATGTGATCTACAATACTTACATGTGAGAAAGGTTGTATTATTTATTTGAAATTAAATACATCAGTCATATTTTGGGGGTGGCATTAAGGATCTGAAGACTCTCCTGGAGCCCTCAAACATAGAAAAGGTTTCCAGTCTTCACAGCATCATTGCCGTGGTTGAGACACCCACCGGACATCCCTCCTCCCCCATTAGAACTCTGCCTAGCATACCAGTGAAAGTTTGATAAACAGATGAATGAATGCTTGAAAGGTTCTTCAAAGTGGGCAGGAGGCTCTGTAACTTCAGTGTCCAAGGCCATGATTCTTAGTTGTTGGTATCTGAAGGGGTCAATACACAGCACCCCCTTTTCTTCCCACTTGAGTTCAGGACCAACTGGGAGATGCAGCAAATGTACAGGAGATCGAAAGGCCACTTCAGATATGGATAAAGCTACGTCAGAGAGAACGGCCAAATGGTTTGCTAAAACTAAACTCCAGAGCTTGACTGGTTCACCCACCCGACTAGACTGATTCACTCACCAAACCAAGGCTGCTGTGAGCAACGGCAGTCCTCCTCCATTAGAGGCAGAGCCTGGAAAATGGACAGCAAAGCAGAGCAGAAACAAATGGAGAAGAGCTGGGGTGCGCAGGCCCCTCTTTCTCCCATCTCATTCATCAGAGCGGTTGCTTCTCCTCCCTTGGGAAGACTGGGAGGTATGGGGAGGTGGGGCAGAGATCAAGTTATTGACTTCTGTGGAGGTGTCTCCACAAGGGAGGAAACATCAGGAAAGGGAATAAGTGCATTCCCCTTGACATCAGTATTCAGTTCCCCTATCAGCTAGGAGCCACCTCGTAAAGGAGGTCTTATGTCCCCTGGGGGCACAAGAGCCCACCCATTGTGAACCCCAAACTACCTGCTCCTCCTCAGGCTCTGAAATGAGCACTCCTGCATCCTTATCTGACTGGTCCTGGCTCTCCACCCGCAGTAGCCGCCTCCCTTGGTGGACCATTTTCCCAGAACAAAAGGGTTGGTGGGGCAGGGAAGGGCCAACTCTGAGTGCCTCCTACTTTCTGTTTGCCATAAAAATATATACCCCTGAAGCCATGGAGCACACAGTCAGAATCTAGTTTCTTAGGATGAGAAAGAAAATCAATTCTCCTTCAGTTTTCCTATGAATTAAGAATAAAATGCAAATAAATTGTCTAAAAACGTGTTCTTTTCACCTTTTAAAAATTGTAATTGCTATTTAAATCATAGGCATTTCGGCTGGATCGTTTAAAATTCAGCACTGATGAGGAAGATGAAAGACAGCAAAGTTTAACTCTTCCTTCTCCTCAGGCGCCATTGAGAATTTAGCACCAGGGCCCAGGAATTGTATGTTGACAGAAAGAAACCTTTTTTGGAAGGATGGAGCTCTGGCCAGTTGCAAAATTGTCAACTCCGAATGTTCCCCTTCAAAGTGGGCCTTCTGGTGGTCGTGGCAGCCCCCCGCTGAAAGATATGCCTGAGTCGATATGTCCTTCAAAACAGATCTGCCTCCAGGAAGGCCAGCATCAAGATAGAACTATAAATACAGCACGGGCAAGTTTTCTCCCTGGACATGAGTGAAGAAACAGGTTGCCCAAATATCTTTTGCCACCATCTTGTCAACACAAAGCCGAGCCAGATTTACGCAGTTAAAATAATAAAACGAGAGATGCTGGCTTCTTAATAACATCTTTGTACTTATAAATCAAACCAATCCTATCCTACTTTTGAAATTTTGAGTTACACGGACCTATGAAATATATTATTTGAGCCAGTAAGTAGATAGAAAAATGTTTAAAGAAGTGGTAACATCTTTAGCTGTTTTCCACCACAAATTTGGTTGTTTAAGTTAATTAAATTAAATTAATCATGAGACCGACTGTCAAGAAATAGAGCACAAGGCAGTTACGTTTTGGTAAGAGGGGAGAGAAAGAAAAAAATAGGAAGAGAAAAAGGAGGAGGGGAAGAAAGAGAAAAGCAGGAAGTAATTTTTAAAGCTAGCCCTCTGAAAGCCATGTAATATTAGATATCAACTATATCTCAATTTAAAAATTAATTAAAGGGAAAGGGAAAGGGGTTAGGGTTTTGCAGGATCTTGCTTTATTTTTTGGAATTTAAATTCATTAGCCACAGAAGTACATTTGAGAAGATTAAAAAGCAGTATGGCTTCTCTAAACTCAGGGAACTTCCCTAGAGGGATGGGGGCAGTGGGATTACACAGACAAGCCATTATTTTACATCTTACTAAAGTGGTACTGGGTTCTTAATTAGCAATAATGGGAAAGGAATACAACATAAGTGAAAGACTGGGAACTGATTTTTAGAGCTTCATGAAGTTCACTATATATATATATTCATATATATATTCATAGATATATGCACACACACACACACACACACACACAAAGGGAACATTAAGCACAACTCAACAGACAATGAAGTTTACTCCAGAAAACTTGTCTTGCTTATGAATGTTCTTTAATCCTAAACTTGGCCATTGTCCATAAAATGTTCCATGTTGATATATCTCATGATCAAACCAGAGACTTTTGTCAGAAATTATATTTTTGTCCAATCTACAGCTGAAACGTGATGAGGCAGCTGGTTTAGTGCTTAGTAATAAAATAAAACTCAGTCTCCCAATTCTGATCTAGAATAGATTTATATATCCTTTGGCTACTGATAAATCTGGAGCTTTGCACAGCTTTGATTTAAAAGTTTCTCAACAATGACCAAAGCTAACATCTGTACCTTCACCCTTGCTGAAACCCTAGAAAGAAACAATTCTCACTGTCACAGTAATTCAGAACTTCTTTAATGAAACAAAAATATATGGAGCTTTCGAAAGCTCCATATATCCAAGGGATGTAAGCACAGCTCTCTGCCCTTGACTCTCCATGGAATGAAATCTGCTTTTATATATAAAACATGGGGATTGACTACTTCATATATTCTGATAGTACATTTTCTAGTTTGTCTTTCTACTGGCAAATTTTCAACTAGGGTAAAGTTGGCTTTTGGGGGAAAGAATGAAAAAGAACTCCACTCTGCACTAAAGGAGAGTTATATAAGAGCTAACTCTGAAGTCTTAAATAGTTCAAACAGAGAAACAGGCACTGTGTTCTCGGGAATACCTCCTAATCAGCAAAATTTTGGCCACGGTGAAGATCTGGAAATCATAAGTTAGTGTCCTGTGACCTCACTTCATCTACCCTTGATCAATATGGTAGAGTGTGTGTGGAGGGGCGTCTGGATGGCTTAGTCGGTTGAGCGTCTGCCTTCGGTTCAGGTCATTATCCCAGGGTCCTAGGATCAAGCCCCGCATCAGGGTCTCCGCTCAGTGGGAAGCCTGCTTCTCCCTCTGCCCTCTGCCTGCCGCTTCCCCTGCTTGTGCTCTGTGTGTGTCAAATAAATAAATAAATAAATAAATAAATAAATAAATAAAATCTTTAAAAGACAAAAAAAAAAAAACCCCAAATGGTAGGGTGGGAATGAGGCAAAGAGCCCCGGTAGCAGGTTGCTGGCCTGTACTACTAATTAGATCTTGGTTTTGCTAGCACTCACAGCTGGTGCTCCTAGCTAAGTTTTGTCGCTTTCTGCTAAACAAAAACAGCTTCACAGAACATCAACACCAGGCAAGACCAACTGGGACCGTGATGGATCAGGAGAAAAACAAGTTTGCTCTTTAATCATGCCTGAGCACAGAGAAACACAAACATTCTCCAAACCACAAAAATGACCAAACATCCTCCTAGCCTGATCAATAAAAGTGACTGGGGCTTCTTTACCAGGTACAGTCTTAGCCTCATTGTTCTGTTCTCTCCTTCAAGGTAAGATTCACTAAGATACCACTTATGGATGGAATTGTGCCACCCTTCATATACTGAAACTCGAGCCCCCAGCACCTAGGAATGTGACCTTGTTTGGAAATGAGGTTGTTGCACATGGAAGGAAGTTGAAATGGGATCATGCTGAGCCCCTAATCCAATGTGACTGGTGTCCTTGTAGGAAGGGGAAGTTTGGACACAGACAGGCACACAAGGGAGAACACCATGTGAAGATTGGTATTATGCTGTCTGAAGACAAGGAACTGCCTACAAGCCAGGAGAGGTCTGAAAAGAGCCTTCCCTAGCACCTGCAGAGGGAGGCTGGTCCTGCTGACACCTTGATCTTGGACTTTTTAGCTTCTGGAACGCTAAGACAGTACATTTCTGTTGATTAAGCCTACCAGGTCTGTAGTACTTTGTTATGGCAGCGCTAGGAAACTAATGAATATCCAATCATAGAATAATCCTCTTCCCCCCCCCCACAGAATCAAATCCAGAGCGAAATTTTACTTCCTTGAATTCTCCTCAAAATTACCTAACACAAGGCTTGGTCCTCTGAGTTTTTTTCATATATCCTTTTACCACGGTTCCCCACCATGTGTGTTTTCCCTCCTGCAATAAACCAATAAAACACACTTTGCTTAACTGTGAGTGAATTCCTGGTGGCCTTTGACTGAGGGGCATTGACACAACTCAGGAAGCTTTTTCCAATATGTGTATAATTATTGCTTGTTTCAATTGCTTGAGTTGTTTCTTCAGGGAATCCTTAACTTTGTATCATGAATGTCTATTTTCTACCACCGTCTCAATATTATACAAAGGCTCCTACACATTCCAGTTGGATTTTACCTGATATCAAGTCTGCTCTTTATTGCTTTAAATGTGGACTTTTAACTGTTTCTTCATTTTTAAGCTCATTTAAAATGTTTCACTATTTTTCTGCTTTTATTATCTTTTTTTTAAAAGATTTTATTTATTTATTTGTAAAGATTTTATTTATTTGACAGAGAGAGACACAGTGAGAGAGGGAACACAAGCAGGAGGAGTGGGAGAGGGAGAAGCAGGCTTCCCTCGGAGCAGGGAGCCGGATGCAGGGCTCGATCCCAGGACCCTGGGATCATGACCTGAGCCGAAGGCAGACGCTTAACGACTGAGCCACCCAGGCGCCCCAAAGGTTTTATTTATTTATTTGAGAGAGAGAATGAGAGACAGAGAGCATGAGAGGGAGGAGGGTCAGAAGGAGAAGCAGACTCCCTGCTAAGTAGGGATCCCCCCCCCCCGCCCCCCGACGTGGGACTCCATCCCAGGACTCCAGGATCATGACCTGAGCTGAAGGTAGTCACTTAACCAACTGAGCCACCCAGGCGCCCCCTGCTTTTATTATCTTAGCATACCTATTTTTTTTTTAATTTCAGATTTTTCTCTCCTTATAACTTTCTGGCCCTATTTGATATAGACCATGTCATTTTGAATCTTACTGAAAATTTCAAACAGTTTTCTCAACTTTTGGGAGTGGGTTCTACAAAAAGTCATTTTCACAGGTTTCCTCTTTTCTTTTTGCATCTTAAATACCATGAGTCTCTTCTCTTATTCTGAAATACATTTCCTGAATCTCTATATTTTCTGTTTGTATATATGTTAGATTCGATTATTGCTAAAGAATATTCACCTCTATGGAGGAATACACTCAATAGAGTCCAGCCTGGATCATCCAACCCTTAGCTGATCCAGAGATCCATGAGAATAAATACTTATTGTTGCATGTTACTACACTAAGATTTTGTTGTTTGTTATGCAATAATAGCAAATGGATGCACCATGTTTTCTCATTTCTTTGTTTGCACGGTGGGATACCTACTGTATCCAGATCTAGAATTTGCCAAATGAGGTGGATGGATGCCCTTGGTTTAAATTTCTGACAATTGGGTGTTAGCTAAATTTTCTGTTTAGATCTGTAACTGTTTAATAGGTTAGTAATCTCAACCCCTAGCTCAAATTCTAGCAGTTTACAAATCACATTCATCTAGTTTTGTTCTGTGGAACTGATGGGATTTTATTCTACCCCTCTACCAGTTTTCGGACATTGAACACAAAAAGATTTAAAAAAGTGATTCCCTCTGGATCTGGCACTGTTTGCTGATAGCACTTGAATTAT